ATAACAATAGGGGGGGGGGGTGTTATATCACTAACCTAGTGAGAATACTTATCCGAGTCCAACGAGCAAAGATCACAATAAAAATTGTGTACTGAAGGACATTATTAGAATTCACGGCATCTAACACTCACACGAGTATAACAAACATCCCACTTCTACTGGAGTGGAGCTGCTTCCCATATTCGAATGTTTTTAATTCCTTAATTTTGTTGAGAGAATTCATTGCTAGCTCTCCATCTTCAGTAAAAAGTTATAGTTGTTAATTCTCCCTCAAAGAAAATTGAGTTAGGCGTAAAGAACTTCCCAACTAGGAATTTATAGATGTACCATTACACCATGCCAAATATAGTTTTCAAACAATATTTCCTCCACCAAGATGCTATAAAAATTGCACCAAGTCCTTACAAAATGCCTATATATCTAACATATTCTCCAATAGATTGGTGTGAATAAGCAACTTTACTATCACAAGCTACAGTAACACCATTTACCCCTCCCAATAGTCACAGCTAATAGTCAATTACTACTAAAACAAATAAATAAAATATACCAGATTTCTAGAGATGTTGTCCCAATACCAAATTTCAGACATATGGAGACTCATAAATTACTCACTTCAGCAAGTTCATAATCTGCTAAATACTTTTGGAAGTCTACATGCAGTATCTATAGTTGTTCAACATACAAACTAGATGAAGCCAAACAATTACTTGAGAGAAGTGTGGAATTACTTTCATAATACAATTTTTGAAAATTGATGGAACAACATGTACTTAGAGCAAGTGCAAAAGTTATCAGACTCCTTTTGGACCTTTTATATACTTGTAAAATATTCAAGAAAGCGTATAAGAGCCCGTTTGGATTACCTGATTATAAATAGCTGATAAGCTTGAAGTGTTCAAAAGCATTTTTAAGTGCTGAAACTGATTTTTAAAATAAGCATTTACGTGTTTGGATAGACGTGCTGAAACTGATAATAAGCAGTTGATATGTTTGGTAGAAAAGTGTTGATAAGTTGTTATTTTGTTAAAAAGACTAAAATACTCTTAAAGTTTTTATAAAACATTATGAATTCAAAAGTTTCTTTGTAGAGAGAATGATAAACAACGAATATGAAATGAAGAGAAAATTAAAAAATTTATTTTGGAAAAAATATTTTGTAAATTAAAAAATATTATTAAGGATAAACTAGTAAAAGTTTTGGTCAAATTAAAAGTGCTTATAAGCTGAAAAGTCATAAGTTGGGGGTGACCAACTTATGGCTTATGGCTGATTTTAACTTATAAGCACTTGGTTTATAAGCACTTTGGATGTTTACCAAACACGTAGAAAAACCAAAACGTGCTTATAAGCCAGTTTGACCAGCTTATAAGCTTAGCCAAACACCCTCTAAGTCCCTTATGCACTCATGTATAAATATTTCCACAATTAAGTCACTTAAAAGATAATTACAAACAGATTTATACGATAAACATTAATCGGTAATCTGCTAGCATGATATAATAGGCTAAACTTCACTAAGAGTAGTGTAATCTTACAATGTCAGGTGTATATAACTTAATCTATTCAAGAAAGTAATAGCTCAAGTTTACAATCCTAAAATCTGATATAGTGTCAAACATATGCAGTCACCGAATATAAACTAGGACTAAACTGACCCCAAAAAAAGCTCTATGAATACTACATCTCAACAAGAAATAGAAAGAACACAAAAATGTAAGTGGTGCAAAGCCAATCCCGTTATCAAACAATTCACCAATTGCAGGAGTGAGAGAAAAATGAAAAACATATGCCACAACAACAACGACAACAACAATGCTTATTCCAAACAAGGGGTAGACTAGATGAATTCATATCACTTCATTTAAGTTAATTAATCTAAGCCCAATACTATATAAAAATAAAAATAAAAAGTTCTAGAAGTTCTCACATTTTCTCTGACGAGACTAAAAGACTCAAGAAAGCATTGAACCTAAACCAAACATATTACAACAAGAACATACCCAGTATTATTCCACACCGTGAGGTTTGGGGACGGAAGTATGTATGCAGACCTTACCCTACCTTGTAAACTAAACATATTAATCCCAACTAATTGATATTGGTTATATAGATCTTTTAATTTTCATTCATTTGTACCCTATTATTCACTAAATTTGCATGGATTCTGAGAGATTTTAAATTTACTAAGACAACGGAATAGAGGAAAAGCATGATTAAATTAAATACCTGCAAATCAAAAGAAGAAATAGTAAAGCTGTTTGATGTCGCCCCCGGCAGGCAATAGTGGCTGTCAAAAAGGGTTAGAATATTTAAGTGTAATTACAACGAAGGACTGCACTTAACAAAGAACAAATGAATTCTTTAAAATAGTAAATCAAATTCAAACTTGTGAAAATTAAAGCTCATTAATTATTTATATTTCTCTAACCTTCATCGAAAATGCTGGAAGCAAAATCATATCAAATATAGAAGTCGAATTCAAATTAAAGTTCTACGCTTTACTGTAATTTTCTTCCTAATCCTCAAACAATAAACTAAGGCATATCATTTCCTAAATCTAAAGACAGATAATTAGAGTTTCAAAAAACCTACATAAAATATTACAAGAACCCACATAAATTTAGCCAAATTACCCCATACTTAAAGAATGAATTAAAGAATCATCAACTTCCAAACTCAAATTACACATACAAGAAACAAGAATATCTTTACAAATAAAGTATACTTCCAAAAGGGTCCTCCTTTTACCCGAGTTTTATGCTCATTTAAGTCTCAGATTACACTCGAGATACAAAAAAATAAAGCCTGAAAACAAAGAGTTAAATCAAGAAATAGATCAATGAACTTTTACATGAGAAAAGGAAGAAAGAAGAGAATTTTCTGTTAGATTCAGAACAGTGATTTTATATATTTTTTGCAAATATAGATGTACCGGAATTGTACTCTAGAAGGATAACTAATTAGTTATCCGTTAAGACAAAACAGTAACAGGCGTACCTCCCAAATCTAAATCCGTCCTCTTCTTCAGAGATAGTAATAACTACATGAAAAGACACGCTAAGTACAATATTAAAATGGGATTTTTTTTAAAAAGGAACAGAGATTTACCTACATAATAAAACCCCAAAACCTCAAAAGTCTCAGACTCTTACCTGATCTGATAAATGTTCTGATTTTTTCAACTTCAGCTTCTTTCTGTCTAATCTCCAAAACCCACCAAGAGAACATGAATTGATAAATACAAACTGGTACATAAATAATATAAAGGAAAGAATGAAAGAGAGAACAAGAGAAAAACACGTCAACAATCTTGACTGTCAATTTTTATTGTGGTGCAGTTTTTTTATTGGTTAACAAGTTAACAACATAGCATATATGGCAGTGCTAGTGTTGAATGTCGTGTCCATCTATAGCTACTGTTTTTTTTTGTTGAGTCAGATGTTAGATAGCTAACACGAGAAGATCAGAACGAAAAATACTGACAATAACAATAAAATTCGGCATAAAAAGAATAGTGTATACAGACCTTAGTTTAAGACAGATCATATATGCTGCTATCTTGAACAAGTGTAAGTGGTTTGAGTGGTGGAAGCAAAGCAAAACAAAAAAAATGGGGGAAAGTATATAGAGAGAGGTGACAGCAAGAGAAGTGAGCACACGCAAATGACAGTGTGTATACATCTTTATACAATTGCCTGCGTGTGCTCACTCTCTTCTGTCAGTCTTGATTCTCCTTGTCCCCCCTTCTCTTATTTGCTTCTCTCCCAACCACAAACATTACCATACATCTGAATTGTGTTGCTGAAGTCAGATCTAAAACCAAAACACAAACCCCTTTTATGGAAAAAACCTAGAACATACATCTACTGACTTAAAACTCACAGCGTCTAAATTCTGAATCTGCTACCTGCTACCCGCTACCCGTTATGTTAGCAGGAGATACAATTAGGGTTTTATGAGTATATCTGAGTTGTGTTGGAATACATCACACCCTAAACTCTAGTACTAGTAGTAGTAGAAAGGAAAAAGATCTTTTACTTTTTTTTTTCTCTCAGTATGATGTGTTTTTTTCTAGGTACATGCAGTGGACAGAACATACACAAAACCCCATTAAAGAAACGAAACTTTTGACAGATAGAGAAAATATAATGTAAGGGGGGAAGAAAGAAAGGGAAGGAGATAATGGGGTACTGTGGCATGTGGGCAGTAGTAGTACAAAATGACTTCTTTTTCTCACCACTAGCTAGTTGACTAATTTGTTTTGGTTTGATATGGTATCTCATCCAATTAGTTAAAGGACAAAAAACATAACCCACAAATGTCAATTGTGGAGATGTTAGATCTCAAATTTCGTAAAATTAATAGAGTACGACTTTTTAGTGAGATTTGTGCAACATAATTGTAAATTTGTTGGACTAGTAAATTTTGAATACAAGATAGTGAAACACTATACTCCTTTATTAATTTGTTTTTGATAATCGTGTTATTTCTGCAACTCAACTAATTTTACGAGTATTTATTACTTTTCTTCAATCAATAAAGTTATCAGACAACTTTGTTCATTAAGATTTGAACAAATAACATAAATTATTTACTAATATTTTTACCTTGTTTGAATTTGAACTTAAAATCTCATAGTCTTCAACCCACTCAACTAGTAATAGTATACACCATTGGACTTTACTCCTTATTTATGCATAAATTATTTTTTTGTCCTTCCAAAATCCAGCCAAACCTATGCTCTCTGTTTTAATTTATATGGTATAATTTGAATGGGAATAAAGTTTAATTAAAAAGATTTTTAAAATTGTAATCTTAAAATCTTAAATACACTATAGCAGTTATGTGTGTTATAAAACTTTTAAAAAATATGATCTTAAACATGTTATAATCTTTGTGTTATTATAGAAATCTATCATTAAGAATAAAATAAAAGTTAAGTTAAATTATTTTTAACTGATTAATAAGGAAATAGTGATAAAAAAAAAAAAGGAACAGTATATTTTAATATGAGATTTTATTTAGGATTATTTTCTAAATTTCTCGAACCAAACAAGCCTATATCTATATTTGACTTACTGTTGTGGATGATTCGTGACCGTTGATGAGATGTGGGACCACCGCATGAATATATCATCGGAAGTTGGACCAGCTATGGCTGCGTCATCCCAGGGAGACAGAATAAATAAATAGCACCCAACAATTATGTTTTTTAATGCGAAAAACCCCACTTTTCCTTTTATATATTTTCTAATGTTTTCCATTTTAATCCATCTTTTACTCTCTATGTTTCATACGATATATGGCTTGACTCAAGGTTCTAAGATAAAATTATTTGAATTGTTGAGTAAATCTAAATGCAATTCTTAAAATTCTTAAATAGAATTTATATTTTTAAAAATTACATAATAAGTGAAGTATTATATAAGTCGCCCTAATTAAAAGTATTCTTTTAAAATCGAAATTTATTTATGAAGATTTACAATCAAGAACAAAAACTTAATACCGATTCAATATTCATTACGCAACCACGAGGCAAATGAAAAAAAAATTATTACGGATGATTTTTATAATGTTAAAATGATTAGAGGTCCAATTTTATTGGTTTCAAAGTTTTGGGGTTAATATTGACTGAACTGTAGGGAACGAAAAAAAAATTGTCTAATTTCAAGTAGTTTGGGGACAAAATCTAACAGCTAGGGCATTTTTTTGAACTATTTAATTAACGATAAGGATTATTTGTTGCCAAAATAAAACGGATGGCAAATTAGCCCATTTTGAATAGCCGAAGAGCAAAATAGGACATTTTACCTAAAAGATATTATGGTAAAATAAAAGCTCCTTTGCATCTTTAAATAGTGATATCAGAGACGGATCGATGAGTTGCACTTTATGAATTCGAGATTGATATTCCATTACCGGTCATTTGATATATTGGATTCGAAGTCTATTACATATATTTATTTAGTGGTATTTTTAACGCATATACAAGAATTAAGTTGAGTTTGAATTAACTTATAAGGTTATTCTAAATCCGTCCTTGTGATAGCATCACATAAATTGATAAAGATAATATAGTGGTATTTCTTATTTGTGGAAAATATTCTCTCCGTTTACTTTTACTTGACACGTTTTGACTTTTCACGCTCCTTAAAAAATAATAAATGAAATGCATAATTTATCATGATACTCATATTAATTGATGCATATTTTATTGGATTTGAGAAAATAATTTAAAATGAGTAATAAATACTGTGGGTATAACAGGAAAAAAAAATTATCTTTTTTTGATATGTGTAAAGTGACAAATAAAAATAAAAATATATTTTTAATATATATGCCAAGTAAAATTGAGGAGAGAGTAAGATTGAGGAGAGAGTAACGTGCAATTCTAAAGAGGGGGCATGCGTTTTGCTTTTTTGAAATTAAAAATTGTTAAAGTGAAATTTAAGCAGTACTTTATCCAAGGTAGTGATTAGCCAAGCTCCTTGAAACCAGGCGAGGGCGGCAATCAAGAAACTAGTGATTAGCTCATCTCAGGGTATACAATAAAATAAATTATTCCAAAATAAACAATAAAATTAACAATTCCAGAATTTATATATATACATAATAAACAATCAATAAGAAATAATATCAAAATAATTAATCCCAATATAACTACTCATATCATAACTTGCCTTCAAACCACACAGACTCCTTAAAAGTTTATGTGAATGAGTAACATATATTATTATTAATCTATTTATTATCAAGCTAACCACTACTACTGCCAACCATCTCCACAACCAACCACCATTATATACTATATTTACCAGTCGTCTCCACCACAAAACCATCGCTATATCTGGGGCGGAGCCGGAGTGTAGTCAGCGGGTTCAGCTGAACTCAGTAATTTTGGTCCGAACTCTGTATTTATCTTAAAAAATTTATTGAATATGTATAAATTATTAATTTAGAACTCAGTAACTTAAAACGATTAGAATTTCGAACCCATAAACTTGAAATCCTGGTTCCGCCTCTGGCTATATCAACCACCACCATCAGAAGACCACCATTTGCCTCCACTGAGAAAATAACGGTTTTAATTATTAGTATTCAAAAATAAAATAATGTTATCTTAATAATTAGACGTGTATTTAAATTCAGATATAATATCTATGATTGTAGTGACATCATTGTCAAATAATTGGCAAACAAACTAGAGATGTCTTCAAATTTGTTATCATCAATACATTGTGGAAGGAGCTTTTGGAATAATATGTCAAATGCCAAATTATTTCATCATTGACAAAGTCATTGACTCGACAAAAAGACTTGGATATGAAAGTCTTTGAGCTAAAAAGTTATAAACACAAAATTATAAAATAAAATTATAAAATTAGAGGGAGTGGAGGCTGGAGTCAGTATTAGACTTGTGATTTAACCGATAATTTTAGGGGAGATGTTACTAAAGATCTTGAACATCTTTGATTGAGACTTTTCACCAAGAATTGCGGCTATCTAATGCAACCACTACCACTCTCCTTCTTTCCTTTCTTTTGCAATCGATTCATTATTTATTTTTCTTGATATATATAGATTGCAGGAAATAACCCCATATAGTCGCTTTTAAATATGTTAGTTTAAAAATATATTCACAATTTATAATGTATTTAAAGATTGATCAATTCGCTCAAATTTCAGGACATAGTGTCCTAAAGTTCGAAAACTGTGTCCAAAAATTCGAATCTTATGTCCTGAATTTTAAATTAATAGTTCAGAAATTCGGGAAACTTAGTCCTGAATTTCAAATTAACAGTTTAGAAATTTAGGTCATGAATTTCAAATTAACAGCTCAACAATTTAGGATACAAAAATTCAGGATACTTTGTCCTGAAATTTAGACGAATTGGTGAATCTTAAAGATTTATTCATATGCAAAACAAAATATACTCAGATCCGAAAAAATATATATCGTCGAAAAATCTTTTCTACGTCGGAAAAAATAGAGCCAACGAAATTTTAACCGAAAGAATTTTTTTTCTAACCCAATAGCACATATAAACTGAGATCATTCACCATCACTGTCACGACCCAAAATCAACCGTCGTGATGGCGCCTATTGTGGAACTAGGCCAGCCTCAACTCAACAACCCAACACCAATAATAAGTTTGAAAAAAACGTTAACGGAAGCATTTAACATTAAAGAAAAACTGTTTGAAACATAAGAAAATTCAAAAGTGATACAATCCAGCCCAAAACTAGGGTGTCACTGAATACATGAGCGTCTAGATCAGAATTACAGTCTACTACAGTGTCTAGAGATATAAACTGAAAGTACGACAAAGATAAAGAAGGAGAGTCAAGGCCCGTGAATGCAGTGCAGCTACCTTGATAGTCTCCAAACCTCTAGGATCCTCAATCAGCAACCGCCGCTACGACCGGTATCACCTGGATCTGCACACGAGGTGCAGGGAGTAACGTGAGTACACCACTCAGTAAGTAACAAGTCCAAACTTTGGACTAAAAGGTAGTGACGAACTCAACCTCAACAGGTATAACCGAAATAAATGTGTAGAAACGTAGGCATGCTTTCAAGTCAAATATACAGCTCAAACAATAAAGGAAATACATATCTAAACAGTGTAAGGTATACAACTCAGCTATCGCTACATGCCAATGCACAGAATGTATGAAATGCACCATGTGCTCCACTCTCAAGTATTCAACCACTCAGTACTGTATATGGCCATTCGGCCCAGGGAGATCCATCCCGGAACATATACAACACTGACTATAAGTCACCAGTACCGAGGAAAAGGGGCAATCCAAACCTGTGGAGAAATCCATCTCCAGGTATCAAGTACTTCGGACAAATCCATGTCCAGGGAAATCCATCCCTCAATAATATTATCCGCGCTCACTGGGGTTGTGTTACAGACTCCGGAGGGGCTCCTACAGCCCAAGCGCTATCATAATTATCAATATAACCGTTGTGACGTGCAGCCCGATCCCATAATTATCACTCATAACCAGGCTCTCGGCCTCACTCAGTCATCAACCTCTCCAGCCTCACCCACGGGCTCACAATGTCATGAAAATAAACCCGGAACAATGATATGATGACTCAATAACTAATCGAGACTGAGATAAAATATAAAAATACATGAACATGACTGAGTACGGAATATGAATGAAAATAATGAGATGCCAGCAAGAAACGACTATTAAGGGT